GTTTCATGCTTCACATTGGCATATTATCCATCTGCAGTTATCGTGCAGTCATCCAATTTACGACGCCTATCATCGAACATTGCTGCACTCATATACCAATCAATAACACTCTAACTGGCTAGCTTACGCATTACTCATCCTTTGCACTTCTTACCCCTGTTGCAACAATTTCCCTTGTTTAACAGCCAAAACGGTCTAACTGCCCACTGAGAGCTAAACGTTCAGAGGCGGTTGCTGCAACAGTCAATTTGATTGCACAAGTAGCAAGGTTCATCTGGGCAGAAAGGCACTTTTGGAATCCCAGCCGAAGGAACGGATAATGACGACTACCTGCTAAAAAAACACTCAGGAAACCACATACTTATGACCATCCTGAACTTCAGACATAAAGAGATATTGTCTGAAGTGATGTCTACTAGACGGCGGACACAGATAGACAATGTGGCTACTATTTGTCACCAAAGAGGATCGTAGGAAGACCGCCGCATCAATCAGTTCGTAAGAAGTGACAGAAATGCAGTGACGTTCATCAATCTTTGGATTTGGGTGACCAGCTGTCTTTATCGGTGTTTCTACACCAGACTAAACATCGTGTCAGGTTTCCTCATGATGAACATCGTTGTCACGTTCAGATAAGTGCTTAGCTATCTCCTCCCTAAATACGCACTTTACGTTCTCATCTTCCAGTTGAGCGCAGACAGACCTCAGTGCCTTCTACGACAAGTAAGGGGGAGACATACAAGAGACTTTACTAGAACGTGATCGGAGTCCAAGCAAGTATTCCAGAAAGAACGGTAGTCCTCTATTGGTTCTCTTTAATAATAGGTCATAGGAATGTGATCTGTATCCATCACTGGTTTGATGTCGACGAACGCTATGTGCGACAGTGTCTCTCCCTATACTTGAAGTTAATGCTGGCCCGTAATAAGTGATTGTCGAAACAAAATTGCTACAGACGGCCACTGATGGCGGTTCGCTGGTGTGGGGTTCCGTAGGTACATCTAATATGGCTTTTTATTGGCTCAGCTTTCCTACCAAAGCGGTGAGGTCACCTGCAACTATGACCATACCTAAACGTTTTGCTTTCTGTAACAAAACTGACGGCTTTTGATAAAATCCATCTTTGTATCATGCGAACTGCATTCAGTGTGAGCGTAAGTGCGGACCACGAACATACATCAGCAAGTTTCGCTGCTGTTCCTAGTTCTCCTAGGTCCATTCAGTCAGACAGCAGACGGACGGTTGTTGACCAGTGTCCAGTCCAGAAGTGCGCTTTCTGCTCCACAGCGTTATATTATACCCACACGCGTGCGACCATGACAACTGAATATATCTGGAAAATCATAAAATGAGCATTGAAAATTTACCACATCAGGCAGACAAATAACCCGTTGTGTTGTGTAGATGTGTTTCAGAAATACAGCATGCATTCGTGACTCCAGATTCTAAAGTTTTGGCAAGAGATGGCTGTTGTCTGATTTTTCATTCGGTTCGGACGTGGACAGCTGCAATGTGAAGTGCGCAGCGTGATGAGACGAGGAATAATGTTTGTCTGATCACTATTCAACATACCTTTTAGTGCAGTATTACCTCTGGCAACAAGCGTTCCAAATGGCGTAGCTCATCGAGTCACTGAGACATGGAGACACGACCACCAAGTTAAAGCAGCAAAGACGATATCAGACAACTATTTGAAAAGAATAAAACAGCGATGAAAAAGTCGGTAATCGGAGAAACTATGGAGAAGAGAAATGACTGGGATGACTGGTGCGACACTTCAAGTGACATCCAACCACTTTTCGGTTCTACGCTATCTAGTCAGTTCATGAATAAAACAATAAGAAAGGGCTTTTAAACACTGGAGAATTTGAAAAGGCCGTAGATAACATAAAACGAAGGTCAGCGGTTCCTGTGCAGAGAGAAAAGTTGGAGATTATAGCTTAGGTTGACCAGCGTATGCGGATCACGTATGATCCCAGATAACTAGCATCAACCACTGATTGTCTCAGTCTTTGAGAAGGGAGAGAAGAGGGAATCCTCTTCTGATAACCATAGAGCAAGTAGTCTGACGAATCTAGTGCCTCACATTCCAGCTCCTTAAATAGTTGGACGTCTAAGCAGAACTCAGGATTGGTGAACTCGAGATAACAAGGCAATTTCCAGACCTGATCACGGGTATATCTATCAGATCTGTACTACACAAGTTCTCGGATGAGAAGACACTTATCGGCTTCTGACAGTAAATGTTATTCTTTACATGAAAGTGGTATTTGACTCCATTAATCGAGAGGTTACATGGCAAACAATTTATTATAAATGTATTTGTAATGAATATTTACACAGGATGCAAATGTTTATTACAAATATATACATTCATAATAAATTGATTCTCTCCAAAATGGACAAATTTTTCACGGATATAATTCATATGGAGATGTTTCCGACTGAAAACGGTGCCAGGCAAGTACATCACTCTATTGAAGGCAGCGTATTCAAACACCAATAAATGTGCTAGATGCTACTGTGATTTCTTTACATCGAGTGATGTGCACCCTCTCTATTCCAATTTACCTTCATCATAGACGTTTCCTTCTCCTCGTGTGACTTGACGAGATTAGCTTCTGTTGCAGGAGACAACTATGTATATTTAAAGCATTTACATGATATCGGGTTGTGCACTGGAAACGCAGCAATATGCACACATTCTAAATGACTAAGATCAGTTTCTCAGCAGCCAAAATGTCAACAGGCGCTCCAGTATTCCAAAATATTCATACACTTTGTTGATGATATGTCAACTGGTATAGAACCTAGATCACTTCACTTACCTGGGATGTTGGATCAGTGACCGATGAATTCTGTGCACGGACACGAGTTGCTCGCTTGGCTTTCACCAGGTCACACGACTTGTGGCGCCGCAGTGATGTCCGACCGCCTATTCAGTGTCACGTGTACTGCGCTGCAGTTTGCTGGTATCCACGATACGGCTGTGGAAGATGGTGTTTACATGTCGAGTATATGATGAGAGGAGAGGAGGCTTGAGGTGTTCGACCAGTGTCTCGTTGGTAGCATGGGCCGTATGTTGTGGTGCGACGACGACGAGCGTGGAGACCTAGGTGGAAGAGGGAAGTGAGTTGATGAGGTTGTGAGCGTTGATTGACTCAGGTGACAGGGACATGTGTCACGCATGCCTAGTCACCTAGTGTCCACCCACACGTTGTCGCACAATCTTAGCTGATGTAGGTTTAGGATGGAGAAAGGTTAGAGATGGTGATACGAAATGAAACGGAACATGGCATGGGTGTATGAAGTGTTTGATTGTTTGTTGGTGTGAGGTGTGTAGGCAGGCGAAGGTAGACTTCCCGGTTGGGGTGCACGTGACAACAGAGTCCGGTGGTTGCACACTGTGGTGCAGATGTGTATATATCCTATGTCCATGTGAATCACTATGTCACACTTCGCTGTCTGCTTCAGTCCGTCTTCTTATGGTTTACCAATGACTTAGATTGCATCATTGGTTCACTATTGAAATCTGGTAACTTTGATGGCTCCGCAGTAATGTCACGTCATATTTAGCACATTAACTACAGCAGCTTTGCTGTCGAATGAGCTTAACCTTTCCTAAGAAATTTAGATGGTGTACTGGAAAACGAACTAATGCTTGGCCTGACATGTGTACTTGTCCTTGCTATTTTGAAACGGCGTCGCAAGTAGTTGTGGAGTGTTGGCTTGGATAGTTAATTTTCAACCAGTAAGTTGCAGGTTCGAAGACCACTCCACCTAACGAACTCTGGGCAGCTAGGCAGTATGACTGTCCCTAACAAAAGAGATGTGGCTAATTGCCTACTGCGCGAATGTGCCCGAAGTCGCCGAATGCATTTCGACGTAAGCAACCATGAAGCTACCGCACACACACCCCAGCTGGTTTACAAGTACAAATCAGACAATCAAAACAAATAACCAGATAACATTAATTTGAGAATGAGAACTGATGGTCAGATGTACACAACAGAAAGAAAGAGAAAAGAAAGACAATAGCACAATCTCCCCATAGATCAAGAATATTATGTGTAGATAATTTGGTTGCTCAGTCATTGTGTAAAATTGTACCCTCATACGGGTGAGAAAGTGAGACATCGTTACGCAGTCTAAACAAACGAACTAGACAAACAGACACATTACATAGGAGACAGAAAAATACACACCTGGAGTAGACGACATTGTATAGATTCCAGTTAATGGGACAAATACAAAATAAATAGACACCAGTTATTTTCTTTAGCAAAAATTTATGAAACCTAATAATGTGTATTTTGTCACACTTTTTCAGTTGGTTGATCAAAAAATAGTCCTTTTTTCAGTTTGATATCCGGTACATATTCAAACAAATCAATTTGTGATGAATGATGTTCGACATGGGAATAAAAGTGTTTGTGAGCGATATATATGATCCGATATAACAAATAAATTACTAACACGAACACTTAAAAAGATAGATTTCCAATCCAAACAAAACATTAATATGTTATAAATGATTTTCACAACGAACAAGAATTGAAGAAGTTAGGACGATGCAACACTTGCGTATATGATGGAAATAGGGAACAGGTGTTAAAGCAGCGACTCCGATGAGTCAAAATAGACTGTCGGACAAAAATGGATGCTGTTTTGTAAGTGAATAGACGACAAAAAAATACACAAATACACTATGAGTAGGATATAACATAAAATATTAAACCACTGGAGAGAGAAAAAAAAGGGTATTCAAATAGAACGAATCACTGGCCAGGTTGCACATATCACACAGATTATATATGTGGATTACCCAAAACTCGGGAGGGGAAAACACCAGAAGAAAAAGATAGTCATCATTTGGCTGTTCCTGCTTTGTTCTTTTCACCAAGTTCTCTTCGTTTCTTACTTTATCTGCTTTCTTGAATAATTGAAATACACAAAAGTAGCAAAGATGTATGGTAGTGGATAAGGGATAGGTGGGTTAATTAACAGCAGCCGGACCCAGAAGCACGATTCGTCATTGTATTGTTATAAGCGCCACCAACCGGGTTATGATGAGGTCCAAGTTTAATTCCATTCGCCTAGTAAAGTAGTAGTACAGAAAAATAAGAAATATTAATTCTACAGGAAGACAGGAATATCGTAGAAACTATCTAACCTACCATGACTAGCATTAAAACAAATCTGATTCACACTGGGGTTTACAGTAGTGGTGTCTGGAGTACACGTGATTCGCTTGACTGATTCCATTTTTCGAAGTACATTTAACCAGCCAAATGAAACCTTTGAATATTGTTTACATTTGACTTCAAGGTATGCTTCATGATTCAGAAATGGTGGAGAATACTTGTAGCTAAGGGTATAGACGTTCAGATTGATTTGATCACCGAACTGAGATTATAGCTAGCAAATGCTTAAATGATAAATGTTTGCTGTTCTCTGAGCCTTGGCCTTGAGGCTTGTTCTTTGAATTTTCATCAAGATGTTTCCCACGACATACTTTCAGTTCAATGTCAAGATCTACAAACAAATTCAAGGAACTGTCATGGGCTCACAAATATCATCCAGACGATAGCTGAAGTGGTGACGCAGAGATTAAAATTGATAGTCACTCCAATAATCGAACCAAAAGTTGGATTCAATGATACTTTTGTAATTATCAAGACGAACAAATTGGGAAACACACGTTCAATTTCATCAACCAACCCTTTGAAGGTATTGAACTCACAAAACAAGAAAATAGCAAATTCGCGTTCCTAGACGTTCTCATCAGACGAAGACATGGTGGAACCTTACGGATTTGAGTTTATAGGAAGGCGACACACACAAATCAAGTTTGGAACTAAAACAGCCACAACCCAACGTCTTATAAGAGGAGTTACATGCATTAGCACTATTGGCACGTGCTAAGACTCATTGCAGTACTCAACAACTGTGGGAATCAAAAGAAAATCACATTTATGGTTCTCAGAGCCAATGACTCCAATCGGCTCAATCAAGAAATGTCTATCAATAGAAAGCTTCAGAACAATTACCTGAAACTACAAAACAAATCACTTCACTAGGCGTCAAAAATGTCTCGGAGACTATCAACCAATTACTACATCCATTCATCATCAGCGCAGCACATAAACCAGATCCATGCAGAACATCTTATGCAAGCTAAATAATCCACTAACCAGAGAAGACAAGAGAAATATATTCCAAAAAATCAGTTGCAAACAGATAACATCAGCATATTGACCAATCTAATCGTAGTCGAACATCCCAGAGAATTTATGAGCACCAAATTGTGGTTAAACGACATGATATATCCTCATTGATATCAGTATGCGGTATTCCAATCAAATGGTAACCAACAGACACGTGGATATTCGCCCAGTATACAGGTTACTGAGAAGAGATTAACCAGTTAGAAATCAATCAAGCAAATCAACAACCAGACATTAATGTTAAATGATAACAAAAATTACAAAAGTCAACTTCTGGTTAGCAAAAGAAGGACAGGTCACTCTCAACCCACAAATCAATAAACCACAAGGCCAGGCAAATATATTTTATAAAAATTCATGCAACTTGAAAATGCTTCACTTCTTAGTAAAGCTAAAGCTGATGCAGTCATCCAGCCTAATGATGAAACAAACCTCAAAGCTAGGAGAGCAAATAATTATCGTTCTCATCCTGGGATACAAATCTCCAGTATCTCAAACACTTCAACTTTATGCCAGACATCATCAGTGCTTTGTGAAGAAGTGAAGTAAATTGACTGTACATGGATATTTATATGTTGCTTTGCCTGAGTTTGACCTGATCGGCTGTTTTAGTTTGTGCTGAATCTGACTGGTTGACATTTCGCCTTCAACTTTCTTAGGGGCGTGTATACAACTTCGTCATTGGTTGGTCTCTTTTTCTTCCGAAGATATAACAACTATTCAGATCATCAGTAAATGTCAGTAGACATTTAAACTTGGCACCCAGGTGGAAAAAACAACATATGAGGTGATTCACTTAAAGATTTACGCCCATTAGTAAGTCCTTACCAAAATGCTTTTGAAATAACCGAAAAACAATATTGATCAAAGTGGTCGCCCTCTTTATCCGCATGAACAGCTGCTGGTAAATCAAGCGTCACGATACACTATCTCTTACGCCAACACAATGTGGACAAATTCGATTTGAAAATGTAGAAATCTTGGTTAGAGGGGAACACAAAGAATGTCAGGATTTGTGATCAGCTCGATTTATTGTCCATGTTCATATCACCTGATATGAATATGGACAATAAATTGTGTCCGAAACGTTATCCAGTAAGTGCTACTGTTTCACTGTGTGATATTTCTAATAAACAAACTAAAATGGAATTACAATCGACCACAGTGCCCAAGTTTTACACTTATGTTAATGAGGCGGTCTATATCTCCCTACACGACTCAGACCAGGAGTCAGAAACGTCATCGACTGGTGCCACGTCTTGGTCTGGTTACCCTGAACTCTTTTCCAACCTAATCCAGCTTCTCCTAGCATGGCACGTTGAAGAAGTCGGTGATTCTACATGCAGACTTATCCAAGCCATCTCAGTCGACTAAGGTCCACAGCCTCATCAATCGACTTGTCTGTCTTAGCCAGCACTTCATCTGACCTCGACATTACGCTCACGGTGTTCCCATCAGTGCGAGCAATGCTATGAAGACATCTGTGATCAAAACCCACTTCCCATTTTCTACTTTCAACAGCCATGTCTGACAGCCGTATAGCAGGACAGAACAAACCTTAGCGCAGTATACTCGCCCCTTAATGAGCAGGTGAGTACCTCGCCAGCGAGTGCCACAGATGACGAAAGTAGGCAAATGTCAAACAGGGCTTCTGTATCTGAGTTGAGATTTCGTCAGCAACCAGCTGGTGCAACTCCCCAAGTAAGTGAAGTGGTCGACACATTCCACCACTTCACTCCATATCATTAAAGCGGGAGTACTTAGAGCAGACCAGTAGTCCTGGACCATCATCTTACATTTGACAGGTGCGAAACGCATGCCAAACATACTCAGATTTCTGCTCAATGATTTCACAAGACCCTGTAATTAGTCAGTGTCTTCACTTAGCAGGATAATATCGTCCACATGCTCCAAGTCAACCAGATCACCTGCAAGGAGTAGAGTAATCCCTGTGAAGTCAGAAAATCGCAATAAATGATCACCTTATCATCATTAGGTCGTAAGCCACTGCATAAGGTTGAAGGAAAGTGATAGTACCAAAATCGAAATGTGCCCAGCAACCTTGTGGATATTCATGTGTGAAAGCTGCCCAAACTCCAGTAGGTCGGGTGGCATTCAAACCCATGACTCATTGGTTGAAGGTTAACTGCTTAAACCAATCAGCCACAGCTCTACACAGTACTAATATCATCTATCTAAATTGCAATCAATTTCACAAGGTCAATACACCACGCTTACGCTTCTGTTTTAAGATCAGTCCTAGTAACAGTGTACACCATGAATACTGTTCACGTTTATATATACCAATTAAGAAAGAATTATACAAATCTGCATGCGGTTGCAAAGTTGCACAAGATGTGTACATAATTAGGGTTTGTGCTGCCGCCTCTCATTCTGACATTTCAATGGCATCACTATGTGCTCCAAGGATATTTTTGGGTTGTAAATAATAGTGAAAAATAGGCAATAATAATATCAGGGTAAGACCAAACATACCTCATTATTAACATCTAGAACACCTTCCTGGATTTTTTCATGTATGCACTTAGCTGTGTCGATAAAAGCTTCTTCAACATTGGCAGCAGTTTTAGCTGATGTTTCCATGAAGATTAGACCATGTTCCCTGGCAAATGCTTCACCTTCCTCTTTTTGGACATCACGTCGACTCTCCAGGTCACTTTTATTTCCTATCAGCATTATGACCATACTGGAACTTGAATGCTGTTTAGCATCTTCAAGCCAGGTAGTCAAGTGCATAAATGTCTCTCGTCTAAGAAAATAAAGCATGAGACTTGAACAACAAGCTACCTAGTGATATCGTATACGAGCAAAGCACCTGCTGCCCCACGATAATACGATCGAGTAATAGATCGAAATGACTCTTGACCAGCCTTAAGAAGAAAGAGAAACTGAGCGAGGGGAAAAATCACTAACCGTATCCCATATTTGTAACTTGATCTGTTTCCCATCGATATTGATCATTCGAGCACCGAATTCAACACCAATAGTCAGATCATGAACTGGTTGGAATCGTTTATCGGTGAACTGCAATAGTAGACACGATTTTCCAACTCCTATAAACGTGAACTGATCATAGATAGAATGTATTGCATAAAATCATTTCAATACGATAAAGGTTGGACTATAAAAGGATGCAGAAACCTGACTACTATGTGAAGAATGATGAACTACGTACCAAAATGCAGATGCACAATTTAAATCAAATGATGTAGAAACGAGATATGACCAGATATGACCAAACCATACCATGCATGACTGAGAGAAGAATGCAAATCAACCACAAGTTTGCTGCTTTACTACCTAGACGATTTCAGCCACATAGGTCCACCATAATTTCCCTTCAAGATTATCTTCAAAGCCAGAGCAGACAGTGAGAACAATTCACGATTTAACATTTTGTGGACGGCGGTGGCACTGGCAATTCACTAGCTGAAGCACGATTTTGGTGTGCATAAATACATTGAATCTCTCCCTTTACCATGGTCTTATTAATAATGCATCATTATTCGTCAGAGTCAACTTTTCCTCCTGCTATTGATAATTTCAGCAATCATGTGACCCAATTGATTAATAATAGACTGCTATTTGTTTCCAACACCCATCAGAACGATTGTACGACTTCAGTAAGTGAATTCGTTGAAAACAAATTATTCTTTTGTTCTCTTTATGACTTAAGTGTCGTCTTATAGTGCTTCAGTGCTTGAGCTTTCTTTTGGACTTCACTTTCTGAGGTGGGTCGGATATGCTGGAGATGTGGTTGTTAAAGTAGACCTAAAGTGCTTTTTAAAGTGCTCTAGCTGCTGTTTCAGATATCTTTGAAGGCTACCGATTTGTATACCTCCTACCTTACAGATAGTTGACGCCAGGTCCCTCAACTTTAGACTTAGTAAGGGTATCAATATTGTTTAGCGGGGGATTTTAATACATCACATATTCTTTTTGATATTGCATAAAACAATTTACATGACAATGAGGTCCAAAGTTCACTTCCTATACGACTCTGGCAAATAATATTAACATAGTAAAGGTTTTTAACTTCAGCATAACTAGCAGTTACACAGCTTATTTTGTGAGACCAGACGTATATTTAAATAAATAATCTATGTTCTGTCCCATAGGTCAGTAAAAATAACACTAACCAAGTTTTACGACCATTTATCGTCAGACTGCAATTCTGTTTATTCACAACAAGACGTTCAAGTAGTTAATTTTGGGGAAGCAATGATGCATCTAAAAACACGTAGTTCCAGTTCTGTGGCATGTCACGTTTGATTCCAAAAGTGCCTAGCTCAAAATTCACAACACTTACCAGAAAAAAGACCAGCGACAGAGTATGTCGAGTGGCGTTTACTGTCCACTTTGTTTAATATTGCCAAGCACGTGCTAATGCAAGTCCCTTCACTTTGCATGACTTTACAGGGATTTACCTCGCCTCAGTAAACTCCCTAGTAGATCTAGAGTATGCAGATGACATGGTCGTGTTAGGTGAAGACATTGAAAAGAACCAGTCTACTGAATACCTAGATGATAATTCAAGAATGTTTGCGATGCGTTTTTTACCACCGAAGTGCTACTTCTAGTGATGTCCGATCACGTACTCAGTGTCAAGTGTACTGCGCTTCAGCTTGGTATCCATGATATGGCTGTGGAACATGGTCATTACAGGCGGAGAGTGAGGGGAGGCTTGGAGTATTCGACTAGTGTCTTCGTAGCATGGGGTGTAGGTTGTGGTGCAATGTCAGTGCGAAGAGGTCAAGTGTGGAGTTCTAGGTTGAAGAGGAAAGTGAGTTGATGAGGCTGTGAGCCTTGATTGGTTCAAGTGGCTGGAACATATGTGAAACATACCCAGTCACCCATCGTCTACAGCATTGTACAATGTTGGCTGACGAAAGACGAAGGTTAGAGATGGCCAGACCAAACGATGGTAACAGCGCATGAAGTCTTTGACTAGTGGTCTGGGCCATGTAGACTCAGAATTTTAGTGATGCAGATTATATCCATGCCGTATTCCTATCTTCATTGTTATCAAATTTCGTTATTTCTTGGTCTTTCTTTCGTTTCTTCTTTTACGACTTCTTGGCTCTTTTGATTACTTCTTGCCTTATTTTACTACCTTTCGGCTTTTTGCTGTTTACCTTGACCTGCTGAAATGAAGTGTTGCCACTCAAATTGATTAACAGTAATGTAAGGTCCCAATTTGGTACTGACTGATTTCTATAAATCCATGTCTCAAAGGATGTGTAAACAACTGAAATGTCCTATTCACGTGCGAGCAGCTTCAAACTTAGTGCGTATTACCGACCAAAACAATACCATAGTTTACCTATGATTACGTCACTTCGGCATAGTACATTGGCAGCAAGCGCTCTTTCAGGCATATGAAACACCACGCGATCAGAAATCTTGTTTGCAATAGGATCCCAGTTGAGCAACGTTTGGATGCTTTTTTTCAGAATGGAACAGTAACCACTCCAACCGCGCTCAATATATTCCAGTATGTTTGTACTCCCTGCCTATACACCAATTGACTGTTTCAATGTAAAGTTTGTCGAAAGCTATCTATCTTGCTTCCGAAGGTCGGACGTTTATTCGATGTCATATTAACGGATGAATGAAGTATACATTTAAGTAGACTGAATGAAGCAGAAAGGTATCTTGGTGATATATTGGAAATCCAAAGCTGACTATCTGATGATGGTGGTCGTTGAAAGTAACGTTCTGACAACCAATAGTTACTTGCTGAAACTAGTACTAAAAAAGCTAACTCAAGGAACACCAACATCAGAATAACAACCGTTTGTGTACAAATTATAAATCGTCAAAAGAGAGCATCAGTCTGAGATGACACTCCTTTCAGAGTGACTGTTTGCATGATGATCAGGTGTTAATATCACCACGAACATTCTTGTCCCAAAGACCCCGGCCAGGCAATCTAAATCTCCCCGCATAGCTTAGACCATTAGCCAGAGGCTCTATGAAATGGAGTCACGTCTTGGCTTGGCCATCCAGAGCACTGTACCAAACCAATCCTAACCATCTAGCATAGCGCTTCGAGCTAGGTAGAGTTGACATGCACAAATTAAGCCAAAGATATTTCAATCGGTGATTCGTAAACTCATGGACTACCTTAACTCCTTTGCCTAGTATTATACCCCTAACCTCAATGTTATTAACACTAATTCTACCGTACAGGAATAAGGTAATGAAGACACCTGTGTTCTAAAAGCCCATGACGTCTTCATATCTACTTTCACTGACCATTTACCACAACCGTAATATAGGATAGATCAGACTACAGTGCAGCATACTTGTTCTTTAGTAGTTAGTCGGATACCACCAGTCGGCGCCCGATGGCTTAAGTTGGCAGCTACCGAACGGGCCTTCTGTGTCCAGGCTGAGATTACGTCAATAGTCAACCAATTTGGACTGGTGCAACTCTCAAAATAAGTGAGATGCCTAACGCATTCTACTGGTTACCTCCCTGTTCCTCAATTATCAGTTAGTATAGGACAGTCCTAGAGTATCTTACATGCCAAACATACTCAGATTTCTGTTCAAGGCAGTCAGATGACTACATTTTGTCGGAGCCTTCGTCTAGTAGGACAATGTGTCTGTGTACTTCAAGTTGACCGCGTACCCTGCTGGGGGTAAATCTCCCTACATCACGGGTACTCATTTACATGCAGTAGCGCGTCTATAACGGGGTCGAACAAGAGTGGTGGCACCTGGAATCTCTGGGGAATTCCACTGGTTGTAATTGCTTTAGTCAAACATCCCGCAATACTAACCCAACTGACAGCTGCTACCTTGATGTAGGGGTCAAGTTTGTATATCGCAATGATGCAACGAGCTACGCCGCCAGACAACTGACTCCTGTGTTCCTACCACATCACAAAGCTTTGCTGAATAGCGATAGAACCAAGAGCAATTACTGTCACGGTATAAATTACTCTATGATAAGGGGTTCAAGGTGACGCCGTAATGCTGGCTGGACGGGAGGTGACAGCAGTATGAAGTTATCCACGGATGAACAGCAATCTACGTTGATGCTGCCTTTTTATGAGGCGGTGTACGAAAATTCGTCTGCTAAAATAGTACACTTACCTACCCTTCGGTCGTTCGGTGCTAGTAGTATGCGTTCTATAACCCGGACGCAACACAATCAAGAAAGGTGTGTGACCGGCGATCAGCAGCTGTCCCACGAAGTTTGAAAATATGCACCCAGCTTGACCACAAGTAACTAAAAAGAGCAACTTCACCAAGACTTAGGCAGCTAAGAAAAGTCGACCAACTACAAACCTCTTATGACAGAGTTCTGATTACACTTGATTTGTGGATGGGTAGAATACGTTAACAGTGGGTAAGTTAAGACTAGTGGGTTAAGTAATTTGATTTCAATTTAAATTGTATTCTTATTGTCTTTAAAGCAGGCCTACGAAGGTATAAACTGCTTCGAGACACAGAAACTACATAAACGAACACTAGTTATATTCCGTTACCAACCACTAAGATCTTAATTTGCTGCTAAAATGTGAAGGGCAACTAGAAAGAAACAAGCCCATCCTTATACCTAGCAACTTTTTCAAAATAAACAATCAGCCAGATGGTCTAACTCATTAATAGGATCATAAAAGTAACAATGTGCTGATAGATACTTAATAAGTACCGTTGCCAACGTGGAAGCAAACCTAACCAAGGAAATTTCGGGCAAGAACAGGTCAATTCCTGATAAGTGCGGAAACTAAGAAAGCTCAACTGAAACAAAGATTAAATAATAAGACGTTCCAGTTAATCTACAACAGGCTTCCTTGAAAATCATCTGCACTTCACCGAAATGGTTGTCAGAAGTGATTCAACTGATATTTATTCTGCAAAAAAAGCATGGTAACGGCAGAAAGCCATATCCAGTTCCACGAGAAACAAATACACAGGCTAACAATCTGTTATGCAAAATGACAAGAAGATATTTATCGTAGAGGAGAAACACTTCAGACAAAGTGGGAAACCACATATTTCATCGGAAAAAAAAGTTAAAATGGTGACCTTTATACATCAATACTGACCTGTATCACCGATAATTATATATTTGAAGAGATAAGCGTACGACATCCTTAATTACTGAAACTTTGAGTTGGCGCCGATAAGGTACTGAAATATTGTTATTTAGGAAATAAGTGATTTTAAATACAGTTATTCACAATTATATCACATAAGGTATTTTATGCAATCATTACTTTGTTTTACTCTACCAATACATAAGTGCGCGTCACAAGTTTGTGACGTTATAACAATGTTACCTACGAGTTTGGTTGTTTTACTCCTACTGGGTAAGTAATTTCGGGATCACTGTTACACAGGCTTTTCATCTGTTTCGTTTTAATGACACTTCTATAAGTCTCATTCTTCCCCTAGCTACTGCTGTGTTACAGCTCGTAAATGCTGCATAGAGATCCAATTAGATTTCATGTTATAAGCTAAAGTAATGCACTATTTTGCTAAGCTGAACATTAGTTTGTTTACAAGTGTTTTTGAGTTTATTCACTGTGATTAAATATCACATCTGCAGTGACAATTTTCACTAGAAATATGTACCAACTATTTTCCTTTATGGAATACGCATTCGTCTTTGTGCATTTGAAATCATGGATTCTTTTTATGAAGTATATATATACGTATGTATCCATGCTTCATAGCGTCATTAGAACATCCTATATATTGATTCAAACTTCGTCTATTCGGTGACTGTACCATCGTATACATATCTTTGACGGTAAATTAAAATCCATAACTGCAAGTAGTTTTCCTGCTCAGGTGCGTATACATGTTTTTTTTCACGGATCGACAGTATTTTTTATTAGTTTGTGATCTACTACAAGAAAGCTTTTCGGAGACTGCTTGTAGAAGTTGAACGTTCCTTTTTCTAGTCATCCGTACGCTCTGTATTTATGAACTCTTGTAAATTAACTCTTGGCACCACCTGGACATCAACAGATGCAATGCTAACGAGCTAACAATAAAAAGCGGGAAGGCGCTGTTTATCTGTGTATCAATCGCAAGGGCACAATTGAAAAAACAGGAAAACGACAGCATAACCGCCACTGGTTTCAATCCTGAGCCGTTCCTGCCACCGTCTTCACCTACTGATTTTCATGGTTGCTGGGAGGTAGTTGTGAAAAACCAGCGGGTGCTAAACTGATGCAACTATCTGTCACTGGTGCCTGTTCCGACAAGTCCTATAGCCGGTAATGAAGCTGCTATGGTGGCTTATGTGGCACATACAGGCTAAGCCATCGCTTGACGGATGGTTATCTTCATGACACCTTAACGTTACTTCATAGACTTGCATCGGAGAATCATTTGATCAGCCCAGTGGTTCCTGAACAGTAATTCAATCCATAGTAAGTTGGTGTTACGTAGAGATACTCACCAGTAAATCTACAACAGTATTTCATTAGAGAGGAGGTAACGAACGGAAATATTTCTCTTCATGTTTCAGCATCTTATTGATTGTAAGGACATGCTTGGGAAGTTAGTAAAGAGCAAAACAAAATATTCTTGCTTAGCTTCACTTGGAATGTTATTTGTGAGTCAACGCAAAGGTAAACCTACTTGTAATACTACCCAGATGATCCTCTATCTAGTCGAATTGCTGTATGTAGATAACCCGTAAGCGACTGCTTCAAAGAGCTTCACGTTGAGATGGTCATTTCTATTCTAAAGGTTGTTCTCAACTGTTTATCTTGAAGTGAACTAGTAAGACCAAATGGGGATTTAGATGAGACTCTTCTCATTAAATTTCAAGTTATTCCTTCATCACTTCAGTAACTATTATTAGGTGGATCTGTCTCCCGTTAAGACTGCTTTCTATTGTCCGACTAAGCTGTGCTGGCAGCTGAAGAACTAGTTGGATTTGCATGAAAAAATACGAATAGTGCATACTTTAAGTACGTAGTTTCGCGATAACAAAAGCATGTTCGACTGAATGATGGACGCACACCCTAACTTTTTCGACAAATGTTTGTGTTTATATAGTAAAAAACAACCACGAATTCCCTAAAACTTCTGTTTGTTCATTATTTAAACCATTATGATCTATTCCAGTGATTTTCTGAATACGTAGACAGCCTATCTCTCTAGTCTTACACTCAGGTTTTGAGCAGGTGACTAAAAATTCTATTGCGTAAGTTCACTGGTTCGGGCAATGTCAGTGACGCTAATGATGAAGAAAAAACAAGCCCCGGGTTACCAACGAGTGGCACTTGGTAGATGAAATCTAATGTATTTTGACTGACTACTAAGGTAAGTCCTCTAATAAAAAGAGGTTTATGTGAATAATACTGTTCCTCTGCAACAGGCGAGTCATTTGAAGAAATATTTCTAGTTCGACACGGTATTTTCTTAGAAAAGTGATACCACTTACGTTATCCTTCGTCACTGACTGGTTTAGTGGTTGTATATTTTACTGCTAAGCACTCTTAGAACTTACTTCTGAATATTACATTTTTTGTTTCCACTAGCCTCCAGGTCTTTTGCCGATGACGCTACCATATTATCTGAGGATGACCAGGCACTCCCGTTGGCTTCCGTAGCAAATGAAAATGATGCATACAAGGGATCTCCTCTCGTTAGTGCCATAATGGCTTTCAGCAAACCCGCCTATGGTCTGTACTCTGGACGACGTGAAATAAATTTACCTGTCGGGAAAACTTCGTCTGTTGTTGCATCTTTGGTCAATACTAACCCAATCAATGGAGAACAACATTTTACACTAGATTTCATCGAAGGTGCTCTTCACTATCCAATGTACTATGATTACCACATACAAAACTTTACAAAGCAGCGCCTTCATAAGACATTGGAACCTGGCCAAGAGGTTTTTCGAATTCCTTTTCTTACGCTCTCTTCAGGCTTCTCTGTACTATAAATTCAAACCAGCCCTTGAACTAGCTAGTCGATCATTCGACCTATCCGTTGTTGTTTACTACCACGACAACAATAATGTTTATTACGCCCATAAGTTGATCAATCAAACAGTTAATGTAAGTCCATCCTGTTCTTATGCTCCAATAACCATTTCTAGCTATATGAGATCGAAGAAGGTGTAGACACTGAGTTGATATTTTTGGTCATCCTGGTAATCGCCCTAAGTATCGCAGTACTAATCGGTGCTTGGCATTGGTTCACCTCAATAGCTCATCGCCGACAGCCTACCAAACAGTCTTCGAAAACCGTGGAGAATGATAATGACAATGTCGTGGAAAACGAATACTTGGCGTTGGTCAACAGTACACCTCAAATAAAAAGAGGTAATTGATAGTATTTTTATTACTCTTTGAGTCATAATTTTGATACTTGTTTGTCCTCAAAATTACTTTCCATTCACTGGTAAATGCAATTGCAAACTAACAAGTATTATTTGGCCGGTGTCCAGTTTTTTACCTTTGTTCATACATGTACTGCTTGGAGTGATGCCAAAGTGTGTAATTTCTTCGACCATTGCTGTAGCCACTTTATCATACATATAGAGCATGCACTCAGAACTCAGCTTATTTCACACACACTAGGTGTCACTAATCACTCGCAAGGAGACCTTATGTGCCCTGGTTTCCGTGCCTGCACTCATCAGTGCGTACTTCAACCATAGAGAAGTTGATGTTCCCTGGATGACTCAAACCTTTGGCGGTCAAGGATTTTACCAGTAAACTAAGCCACACGAGTCGGCCATCGGGATGGTAACAGATGTATGTGTTAGTGATCAGCACTGACCGAAGTCTAACGATCAAGTTTTCAATGCGGTCACTCAGATGGGTAACACCGTTCTAATATTTCCTGATTCGTGCAGGAATTAAGAAGACCGTCACCTAATCTTATGGTTTTCCCAGTAGAATGTTTTTGTGTGATCCGTCTATTACATACCATCGGTAAAACCTTGTAAGTTTCCTCTTGCACCCTATGCATAATATATATATATATATATATATATATATATATATATATATATATATATATATATATATAATCAGCAGAGATGTAGGGAAAGTCATACGTTATGTTCTTATTCAACTGCATCCTGACTTAACTCACGTCGATGAGCGTTGTAAAAGTCACCCTGATATCCTCATAAGAGTTTGTTGTAGCTCTAGCACTTCGTTAGTTAATTAGGGATATCCTATATTTTACTCAATAATTTTCGCTCACTGCTTTAATTACATTTTAGGTCGTTCTGATCAAACAGTACGTCGACACCAAGGAAGACGATAAGTGACCTGTTCACCCACAGACTCTAGTCAAAGGACTGCTGACTTTTTTTCATGTGTACATTCGGTTTTTGACAAATGCTCATGCAAATAATATCTTTTATATTCCCTTTTTGTCCATTGCAGTGTTTAAAACTATCATTTGACCCTATTTACTTTTAGTTGTTCTTTTGTAATACCAACTAGTTATGTTAATAAAGTTCGTTGCTGTGATTCAACTTCTTTTTTCAGTTGAATCAACTACCACTCTTGTTGATGAGACTTTTATTATCAACAGCGAACAACAAACAAAGTTGGTCATGTGAAGCTGTGATTCGGTAGTATAGGCACCCACCTTCGGACTGACTAGGCCACAGGCTTGAATCTGCTTCTTCTACGAAGGTTAGGATAGCCACGTCGCATCACTAGCCCTCACACATAAATCTTGTTCATTGGCTACTGTAGGAATGCGCGCACGATTGCTGGGTGCATCTTGTTCTTTTTCCGGTTAGACGAACTGTTTCCTGATCTAAAGTACGAACTGGGCCAGATTTAATTATCTAGTGCTTTACTTAATCCTGTTACGTAATAACATGCCTTTTAGCAGAATAATGTGTTTTGAACTTTTCCATCGAGAAATGACAATGGTTTCATATGTAATAGGAAGCATACAAAACAAATTTGTTTGTAATGGGGTTCTAGATAGATAAGATGTACTGCATAAAATTGTAAGATTAAAAGTAGTTCTGTAAGCGTTGGTTATTTACTTTTCCTTGATAAACCACGACTCCTGGTCCAAGCGAAAAGTTTTGACATTTGTGGTTGGAGCTTTTTGATACATGACCGAAGGAAGGCTATAGGACACCAAAGGCTGAAACCAATCACCTGTAAAGTAATATCGAAAATGCATTTTTTTTAAAATAAGTAGGTTAGCAAACAATACACTGGGTGTCACAGATTTGCAAAAAGACATTTCGGCGGCTTTTTATGACTGTTAGTGACGTGGGTATATATGCTGTTCTCTTTTTACGACTTATTTCTAGATGTGCTGATATGACATGTAACAACTTAGATCGTTGCGCAGTAATGTTACATCCTACACTCAAGCTGACCAACTGCATAAATGAACACGAATTCAAAACACAGGGACAGACAAGATCAGGGTGGGATCTGGCATTATTGCACGACGCTCCAAGTTGTCGCACCTTATATCAGCACCCAAGTGAACGATACAGTAATAAGCCGGAAAATAATCAAAAGTGGTAGGAGAACGTGGAAAAAGAACAAAGGGGAGTGAGATGATCAAAATGGAGATATTGTATGCATAAGTTTGGGCTATATTACCCAGTCTGCCGCGACCGGTTTCTGTTGTCCCACAGACCCCAGCTGGGAAGCCTAAACCGCTTAAAGCAAAGACTTTATGCATTGATGCCATGTTTCGGTCTGTTTCTAACCCTAAACACCTTACCAATGTTTTCACCTGGCAGAATTGTCATTTGCGTACTCCAAATTTACTGAAGGGCTTACTGAAACTAGAACAATGTCTATGAAGTCAGAAGAGGAAAGAAGGCCTCTATTAATCTGAAAAGACTAAATAAAATATTATTGTACCACTGTGCACTAAAACTGAGTAAGAGTGAAGAGGGGAAATCCTTGATGGACATCACACAACTCACCTTAGGTTTTAATACGTGCACAGAGTTGGTGTACTTACTCGGCCCCCCTTTCAATGAGACCTCTGGATCGGCGGAGTCGAATGCCGCTGTCAAATCTGAAAGTATGGCTAGTGTTGGGCGTCGGTAAGTGTTCCTGCGTTCCGGAACCTGGCGAAGAGTAAATGCCTACTGAGACCTGAAAGTCGTGCTTTTCTAGAGGTTGGCTTCTCCTGAGTTACACAAGTAGACGTCTAATGATTATAGAACCGGAAATCTTAACAGATTCCCCTGCGGTTGTCGCAAGAGGGCCAGTCGGTGAGCTTACTAGACTGCAGTATACCAGCTAATACTTCGGTTAATCTGACCAATATTTCTTGACCATCGTTCTTAAATACCTCCAGTATTAAGTGGCTTCATCTGACAACCTACCCCCTTGTGCACTGAAGTCACCGGCTACGACATCTCAGCAATACACTAGACAGTTTCCGATCATAAAAACAAACATAGGACCTGGCATTACTGCGTAACAGTCCACGTTGCTCCACCTTATATCAGCACATCAAGTAACAAGACAATAAAATGGAAGATGAAGAAAAGGGAAATCAGCCAAAAGAAGTGGAAAGTAGTAAAACAAAATGAATGAAACAATGAGATTAATTATAGTGGTTAAAATGAGGATAATCTGTGTATACATCTGCGCCACTGACATTGGTTCTGAGCCATATCACTTGGAGTCTGCAACCACTGGTTTCTCTTGTCCCGAGGACCCCTACCGGCTTGTCTCCTTCGCCCTACATGGCTCAAACGAACAGTCAAGGACTTTATGTACTGATGCCATATATTAGTCGGGCAGTCCCGAGCCTGAACGCTCAATCAACATACGACCAGGCATTACTGCGTAACGGTCCGAGTCGCCACAGCTCATATCAGTACATCAAGTAAAAAGGTAGTCAGGCGCAAGGTGAAGATAAGAAAGTTCAGTCAAAGAAATATAAAGTACGAGAAGAATGACAATGGTGAGAATCGGCATAATGTTAAGACGAGGATAATGTGTATACACCTGCGCCACTGACATCGGTTAACCGATGTCGCCACGAAACACGGCATATGCTACGAAGGCAACAGTGGTCAAACACCTTAAGCCTTCTCATGTCTTCTACCTTTAATGGCTACGTTTCCCAGTCATACAGTAGAACACAGTGGACTACAGCACAGTACGCTTAAATCTTAATAAACAATTGGATATGGCAGCGGCGCCACAGATGGCGCAAGTTGGCAAAAGTCAGTGGGGCTTTTTGTATCTGTGCAGAGATTTCGTCGGCTACTGAGTCACCAGTGCTGATCCGACTTCCCAGGTTAGTGAAGTGTTTAATGCACTCAACTTTCTTTTGTTAGCCGTGACATCTTTGAAGACCAGTCTTAGAGAAATAATTTGTATTTGGGTAGCGATAAACGCATCCCTAACATTCTTAAATTGCTACTCAAGGTGTCCAGAAGACTATGCATCTTTTCAGCGTCTTCACCAAACAGGACTATGTCATTTGCATATTCTGGGTCTAACAAGTTCTCCTAAGACTAGGTCAACCTCTGTGTAGTCACGTGACGAGAGGGAGACCTCCATAAGAACATCTATGATAAAAATGAATGGAGAGTGGGCATCGTTGGCGGACACCACTCGACGTACAAAGCTCACTATAAGCCATAACACTCCCACAGGTGTTCGAGTAAAGAACCTTCAAATATGGTGATACCCCTTTCAGTGAGACATGTATTCGAGAACCTGGCGGAGTGAATATTTGGTCGGTAAACCCATAGCCAGATTCGAAACCTGGCTGGTTTCCTCTGGTTCGTTCCTGAGCTCCACTCATGCATTTAGTGGTTATAGAATCTGGGACACTATGCTCGTCAGGTTGATTCATCTGTGGTTGTCACATAAGGACTACTTGCCTTTTTTGAAAACTGGGATAGTCAGTGATTGAGACCAGTCAGAAGGGATCATATTTGACTTTCGTAAATTAGTTAACACTTCAGTTAACTTGACTAGAAACACTTTACCACTGTCCTTATATACCTCAGGAACTAGTGCGTTTGGTCTTGCTGCCGGTTCTCCTTTCAAGTTACCTTTCGGTTTCTGTGTTGAGGAGCCTATCTTAGTGTTCCATTCAGGATCCGACCGGATAGCGAGCATCGCAAACGTAGCTGGAGGCCAGTTGAGGTGTTCTGCTCATCGTTCCAGTTGTCACCCCTTACAGTTTTTAGTAGGACTCACCTTTAACTTCATCGGAACTGTAGTCAGTGGATGCGTAAGGAGAGATAACAGCAAGCGTTTACATGGAGTCATTTTTTTCATCTAAAAGCTTTCTGTTTTGAACTAGAAGAGAACATAATGACCACTTCATCAACGGGTCACACCACACATAAAACGTACAATTTTGAGAACACCAGTGGATACGTTCTCAAAAGACTGTCGCATTCTGCAATCATATCCTTATTACTTCGTAATGTTCATTCGTAAACTTACTCATTAATTTTTCCTAACGGAGAAGTTGGATGTCGACGAAATTTTTGCTGTGCTGATATTACTTAAACGACCAGTACATTTTAATTACAAAGTAGGGTGTTTTAGCGTGTCACGCTTCAATTGAATCCAAGTTTGTTGCTTTTGAAAAATACTAAGTGTGGTGTTGATTTGCTCCCAAACCTAACCACTCACACTTCACAATAGTTTGTAAAGAAGCGGGTAGAAAAAGAGTGATATCAAAGACGAAAAAGTTGTGTAACAGAATAAACAGTTTGAAGATAACTGTTAGTGCAGATATTCAAGCTTTAGAAGACGTCGAGGAGTGAACACATCTGCACAGATGCAGCCGATTTCCAGCCCTATCACTAAGACTCTACAACTACTGATTCCTATCGTCTCGGAGACCCCAACCAAGCAGTCTAGATCTCCCAACACGGCTCAGACCAATAGTTAGAGACTTCATCGACGGGTGTAACGTCTTGGTCTGATCACCCTGAACCCTCTTCCAACTTCATCCAGCTTCTTCTAGCATTGCACGTTGAGGTAGGTGGTGGATCGACATGCACAACACATATCCAAGCCATCTCAGTCGATGGTGGCTCATAACCTCATCAACGACTAGCCTGTCTCGCCTAGTACCTTTCGTCTGATCTCAACATTGTTCACACGGTGATTCCAACAAACGCGAGCAATGCTGCGAAGACACCCAGGATCAAAACCCTGTAACCGCTTCATATCTCCTACTTTTAAAGGTTATGTTTCACAGCCGTACAAGACAAAACGAACTGCAGTGCAGTATACTCGTTCTTTGATAGATAGCGGGTGTCTCGCCAGTTAGTGTCAAAGATGATGTAGGTTGGCAAATGACAAAAGGGCCTTCTGTATACCAGCTTAGATTTTATCAGCAACCACTCCGTTCGGGCTGGTGCAACTCTCCGAGTAAGTGAAGTAGTTGACATATTCCACCACTTCATTCTCTATCATTAAGCTGGGAGTAGTTCCAGACCAGTCCTGAAGCATCATCTTACATTTGACAGCTGCGAAAAGCATGTCAAAAATGCTCAGATTTCTGTGAAACGCGTTCGCAAGACCCTGCATTTTGTCAGCGTCACACTAATCTATACTTCATACTTGAAAATCCATGAACGTTTCCGTAAGTACATTGTTTACGCTGTCTTAGTAACAAAGTGAGTCTTGGTTATAAACAGACAATGTGGCGTTGGCGATGTTAGGTTCTTTCTGAACCGATTCCTGTATTTGTATTAAATAAACCTTTCCAAGGTTTATTTATGCCTCAGTCCATAACTTATTCTTTTGAACCGGATTACGTATTGCAAAAGGCCTTACCGTGAGTATCCCTTTAGGATGAAGCTTTGGAGCAACGAAGCACATCAGAATCAACAAGTAAAATAAAAGCAAGTCACTCATATGTAGTCCAACGAAACCAACTATAAACAAAAGAGATGAACTGGTGAAAAAGTGTAAGACTGAATTTCGATGTCGAACTCTATGTACGAAAATGAAGAAGTTGATCAGTACATGACGTATGTGAACCAGACGTCTACAGAAATTCCAATAACACCAATTATCTTCATAGTTTGGAGGCTTGATGAAAATTCTGCAAATCAGGCAAACATTTCAAAGGTAGAGCTTACCTCGATAATACGAGAGGTCCAAAGTAGTCTACTACGCTTAAAAGTAATCCTGAACAACCTATCACAAGCAAAACTGGAGGTTCATATACATGAATTAGCAGGAATAAAGTAGTGATCGATGACAACACGAGCAATGTTGACCGAGGACATTTCCAATTCAATATGTTCTCCAACTTGACTATTAAATTGAACCAATCCTCAAGATCTAGCATCAAACTCCTAACTTCTGGTTCTTCGGTTGATATTCTTTCGATTTCAAAAATATCGCTTTTTCTCACAGGAGCTTTCATTACGCACGAGGTTACGAAGCTTGTGTCATTACAACATTTCACCTAGAAAAATGATAACAGACTTCACACTTTAACAACATGATTTTAATTTTCGTTATCTTCAATAACCAACTAAAACTACTAGACATGCTTATGATTGAATTATCACAAATCTTCAAAACTTGGTAAATATCCGCGTTATGAAAACTCACTTCACAGTATACTCTCTAGAACTGATTTTTCACACATAGTGTGCACACAAGCAGATAGACTGTCAACAAAGGATCTGGATTACTGCGCAACTCTCCAGGTTGCCACAGAAATCTGAACATTAAAAAGGAATGCATCAAGATAAAAAAGACGACGAAATAAGCAAAGAAGCAGCTTAAAGTGGTGGAAAGTTACATAATGAAGGCAAAGTATTGAGAGAATGCTGAAATTCAGTGTATTAATTAACGTATGTGAATACATCTGCCCCACTGATATCGATTCTGAGCTATGCGAACTATAGTCTCCAACCACTGGTTTTTGACATCATCTAGACCCCAACTAAGAAGTTTACATTTCCTACACGACTCACACCAATGGTCAAAGATTTCATGCAACTATGCTTTATTTTTTGTTTGGTCTGATCACCTCTGACCTTTCTCCATCCTAAACCTACATCAGCTAAGATTGTGCGACAACGTGTGGGTGGACACTAGGTGACTAGGCATGCGTGACACATGTCCCTGTCACCTGAGTCAATCAACGCTCACAACCTCATCAACTCACTTCCCTCTTCCACCTAGGTCTCCACGCTCGTCGTCGTCATCGTCGTCGTCGTCGTCGTCGCACCACAACATACGGCCCATGCTACCAACGAGACACTGGTCGAACACCTCAAGCCTCCTCTCCTCTCATCATATACTCGACATGTAAACACCATCTTCCACAGCCGTATCGTGGATACCAGCAAACTGCAGCGCAGTACACGTGACACTGAATAGGCGGTCGGACATCACTGCGGCGCCACAAGTCGTGTGACCTGGTGAAAGCCAAGCGAGCAACTCGTGTCCGTGCACAGAATTCATCGGTCACTGACCCAACACGCATGATCCACCTTCACAAGTAGGCGAAGTAGTCAACGCCATCAACCATTTACTTCACTCCCCATTGTTGAAAAAGCCACCAGCCAAGACCAGTCGCCCGTCGAGCAACAATTCGCATTTCACTGCTGAAAAACGCATCACAAACATTCTCCAATTCTCAGTCAACGTTTCCACTACACTCTGATTCTTGTCAGTGTCTTCACCTAACAGGATCAGGTCATCTATGTTCTCTAGATCCATTAGGGAGTTTCTTGAGACTAGGTTAGTGGCTGTGAAGTCAGTCGAGGAGGAAGACCTCCATAAGCAGTTTTGTGACAGAATCACGTAAAAATGTAGAGTGGACATGCTTAATAGCAATAATAATAACGATAACGACATTAATAGTAATGACAATAATAACAGCTTTATTGCAAATGAGACGTGTAGTACAGTAAGGAATTCTCAACACCTGTTAGTCCAACAAATCCACTCCCTGTACAATATCTTTAAGTGAAATAATCATTGCATTTGAATAACGTTAACAATAACAGTAATGGAGATCACTCGACGTACACAACTCACCATGGGTCCGACATGGTCATGGATGCTCGAATGCAAAAAGTCAGTCCCAATAATCAGATTCAACAGTCAGCCAATGTTTTGAGTCTGAACCTTCGGACTAAACAAGCAATTTACGTGTTATTTGTATGAATAACCATGAGTTTATTTGTCCGAACTTGATTTGCAGTAAGTAATACTAAACATTACATACCAACGGCCCTGAATTTTTTTGCGTGTAACTTGAACCGATGCGTTTATTGTGTAGCTGTCCCTACTTGCTTAAATACACCACAGATATGTATACACCTGTTACTGAACTTTCCCAAGAAATGAGTATTAATATTGGGGAAGTAAAAGCTTTCTGATAAGGGTTCAAGAGATCAATGAAACCTACAGCTTATGGTTCAAGACTATGTGGTAAGCAATCAATGTCAGTGGGATGTTCACCCAGAAACTTCCATAGTCTTGTCGCCTACATTCCTTTCCTTGTTTAGTACCGCATAAGACAGTAAACATTCAGGATCATTTCTCCACTATACATACGTTAACCGATTTCTGGATGCACTGATCTTTATTGCGGTAACTAAGATAGATATGTATCAGGTTTTATGCTGTTAATAATTGCGAAAAGAGAAAGAGTAGTAGTAGATTATTATGTGGTTGTATCTCATATTTTCACTCTTGCATGAACTGATTTCCTCCGACGCCATCATAAAAAGCTTCAAGAACCGAGACCGAACCAATTTATCATTAATCCGAGGACATAGAAAGGCATGGGTTTCCCCACCAACTGAAACTTGTCACCTTAGCAAACGGTACCAATTCCACTAGTGGACGCGTTTAAAGAGAAAGCGGATCTTCACAGGGATATTCACTGCAACAAATAACACAGGAAAACTGAGCTCCAGCTCAGTCGAGCTCGGTCTAAAATGATCATTTCAGACTATATTCGTTATCACTGCTTGTGCACTGGTAATACATGCATACAAACCTGGATGATGACCGTATCTTCATATAAGGACTCAGTGACATTATTCAGAATGAACCACTTAATTAGGTATTCTACACGTCAAAGGAAGGATCAGAAAGATAGAAAGACAGGCCTTCATTAATCTGAAATCAGTGTAGAACTACTGCTACGTGCCAAGTCTCTCAACCATCACATATATGTGATGGTTGAGCGACTTGGCGCGTTACAAAAAGCATTTCCAACAACCTGCAGACATACATCAACAGCTGCAGCCTACGCCCACTCGATACTGAAGACCAGATGGCCAGAAAAATAAGAATAGGCAACAAGGAACTCGGACTGGCTGCCAACAAACCAACCAAGAACCCAACGCCCGATAAATATGCAGAAGAAAGTGGAGATGTATTGGGCATACACTGAGAAAACCATTCGGGGACATCCCGCGCCAGGCCCTCGGGTGGAATCCAAATGGGAAACGAGATGGGCGTCCGAGGGTGACATGGAGGAGACTGTGAGAAAGAAGTGAAAGCTTATGGGCAGTCGCGCAGTCAGGTTGAAAAGACTTCAAAGAATAGAGTGTGATGGAGACGTGCTACTGAAGCCTTATGTCCCATTAGGAACGCAAGGGACAAATAGCAATAATAATGACGTGTAACTTTACGAATATATCTGGAAATGACCACGACTGGTTCCAATATTGGTAGTGCAAGAGTAGAAAACTGATAGTTTTTGATCTCTCACGTCTAGTTCTTAGGGCTTGGTTCGAGTTGTTCGGTTCATTCATGCAGTGGACGAGAAAATCCCTCTGCTTTCTTGCTTTTAGCCTCGGTAACGTCGATGTTTTGTGCGTTAGTAAGTTGTGATTTGTAGAGTGACTGGGGAGCTACGGGTTGCTGGGACGTTTAGGGGACTGCCGTTGACTCCTGTCTGTGTAGGTACTTGAGAAAGAATAGTAAGGTAGTGACAAAAGATTGAAAATGAGAAAATAAGGGAAGAGATAAAGGAAAGAAAGGAAAAGAAGGAAAGGAGGGGCGAAAAAGAGGAATAAAAAAAGAGAAAAGTATGTAGGGATTGCCCGAATGGTAGCGTGGGTTTGGTTCCTACAGAAGAATTAGTGGTAATGTAGGTGTATGTATTAAGCAGAGAGATAGTGAGTGGTGAGTAGGAGGGAGTTGTGAGCTAGTGCGGTTGGTGACTACTTAAGTACGTCCATGGTAGACCATGCGAAGTGACATAACTATCTAACTGGCTCTTGAATGAGTCGACTGAGGGAGCTATATAAAATGTTTACTGAAGACTTAATTAAACAATAGAGTCAGTCGGAACTGCCCATGTGAAAGCATGACAGCATAGTTGTATTTCATTTGGTCTAGCTGATATAAGAACTAGATTTCAGTTACAAACGCATGTACTCACCAGCTTTGAAGTACCACTCTTACACGGCCTTCAAAATTCTAAATTCGTGTTGTAGGATTAGTAAATGGCGGTACCTTGGGTTCTACTTCTGTCTTATTGGAATACGTCCTGAGTTTGGAATGATCACAATTATCTTCCCGATTATGAAAGCCTGAAAGGATAGAGATACGACTCATTAATTAATGTGGTCTCAAGTTAGTATTACTGCATCTGATCTGGGGAAAGCTTCTCGAGTGTAGCCCATCGGTACCGTACGACTCGAGGTGTACGTCTAGCCTCCCTTTAAAGGTATCGGGGGATGGGGCTGTAACAACTACTGAAGGGAGAGAATTCCACAGTTTACAGACTCTAACTGCAAATGAGTTAGCACGGATCTTTGTACGTGCTCTCTCATGATCTATTCTTAACGGGTAACCCCTCAAGTCGCGTTTCCGACTGAAGCTTAGAAGGGATCTGTTGGGATGGATGGAACTATGCGTGACGTGGTACATCATGATCATATCCCCTCTGATCCTCCGGTGTTGTACTGGGTGCAGCTGAAGAGCAACTAAGCTGTTCGAGTACGGTTTGCGCCGTAGCCCAGTCACTTTCTTTGTAGCTCTTCTCTGTACCCGTTCTAGGATGGCTATGTCCTTTTTCAAGTATGGGGACATCACAAGCGAATTCTTTTCTGGACGAGGACGAATGTACAGAGCATGCACTGCAGTGAAAAGAGTAGGAGTTAGACACCCTAAGGTTCGCGAGAGAAACCCCAAGATTCCATAAGCCCTATCGGCTGCAAGGCGACAGTGAACTGAGGCTCCTAGTGTACCATTTAGTGTAACTCCCAGATCTTGTTCCATGTTAGGGTGAAAGATATTAATTTCACTAGGAGAGTAAGAACTGGGACTATCTTTATGTTTGTCAACTATCATAATTCGACACTTCTTCGAGTTGAGAGGAAGCAGGTTTTCTGTAGTCCAGTTAAGGATTTTCGTAAGGTCCTCCCGGAAGATCGAAATATCCGTTGGCTCCCGTATTTCCCTCCAAATCTTCAGATCATCGGCATACAGTGGTGAATGTGAATTGAGGACGCCTGGTAGGTCATTGATAAAAGCAAGAAACAGTAGTGGGCCCAGTATGGAACCTTGAGGCACACCACTCAGCATCGGGAACCAATCAGATGGAGAGGAGCCGACTCTAACTGACTGAACCCTGGTGTACAGACGATCTCTAAGCCAAATTGATAGTTTTCCGTGTACACCCATGAGCTGGAGTTTCTTACAAAGGACGTCATGATTTACCCCATCAAAGGCCTTAGAGAAGTCAGGTAAACCAGTGTGTATGGGCTTTTTCTTCTCGACAGAGAGTGTCCAGCTATTCCAGGCTATCAACAAGTTGGTGTTGCATGACCTTCCTGGTAGGAAGCCATGCTGACAGTCGTTCAGGATTGATTTCTGAAGTAAGTGATCACGTAGTGAGTCATTCATGACTCTCTCCATGACCTTGACGTTGAAGAGATCAGGGAGATCGGTCTGTGGTTGGGGGCGAGTAGTTTGTTTACACCTTCATAAATTGGGACGAAAACCACCTGTTTCTAATCAGAGGGTAACCTGCCTTCCGGAAACGAGCACTTGAAGAGGTTTGCTAGTGGGGCACACAGAACTCCAGCACACTCTTTGGGTGCTCTTGAGTGAATCTCATCGATTCCTGGGGACTTATTCGGGTTCAGTCTCTTCAATATTTCCATAATTACAGAGGGTTTAAACTCTACATGGTTTAGTCCCTCTGTAATACGGGTGTCCGACAGAGGCGGGGTTTTGCCTCCCAAATGACAGAAGTTGTTTTGTGATCTGTGAGCCAGTAGGTTAGCAACTTCGGAGTTGGAATAGAGAATCTCCAAACTAGTGGGGTCTCTTAAACTTAGTGCACTGTTACTCTTCTGTTTCACCAACGAGTACAGTATCCCATGATTCCCTTCCAGGGTTCCACAAAGTTGTGTCTGGTGGCTTATTCTGTTATTTCTGATCCTTACCGAACATTCGTTACGGATGTCTTTATAATTTATCCAGTCAAAAGGACTATTAGTGCACCTCCACAGATTCCAAGACAACCGTTTACGCCGTGTTAGTTTGCGCGTGCTTGACTTAAGCTAGGAGGAGTAGAACCTGTCAGTCCTTCTTGGGACCAGAGGAGTGTTGTCTTCGATCATCCGGAGGATTATATTCTTCAGCAGACCCCATCTAGCATCAAGATCCAGTAGGCCATCGCAATTTGAGCAAGTGGAACCTTCTAGATCTTGCCAAACCTCGAAATCAGTTCTCTTGTAATTCCTAACTGGCGGCTGATCGGGAACGGGTGGCTTAGATAAAGAAATATTGAAGGAGATAACTGCATGGTCACTCAGGCCGAGAGGGCTGAAGACATTCAAGTTGCCTACCTTAATGAACTGATTTGTGAAAATATAATCTAGTCGGGATGCCTTACCGTCGGGCCACCGGCCAGTACACTGGGAAGCGTGTTCCGTCAAGGAGTTTTCCACCAACAATTTCCGACAGTCTTTTAGAGCAGTAGACGAACTTTCTGTGGTAAAGAGTTGGGGAAAGTTAAAATCTCCCATAATGAGGACCTGCGGGAATTTCAGTTCCAGGGCTTCTCTAGTGGTCTGCATTAACATTTTATTTAGCGTGGCACCAGCTGCAGGAGGGCGGTATAAAACTCCAACTAGACACGGACCTCCGCAGCACTTAATACTACACTAGAGGCCATCTTTAATGCCTTATAATCACCACTTTCCATTTAACGAGTTGTGTAAAACAACTGTTTTTTTCGTTCCCGGTTCTAGACCTTGCGAGACGGGTCAAGTTCTTTGGTCGATTGCGATTCAGTAGGTCTACTCCCATGCTTGATATAGCTCTGCTACTGGTTACATTTGAAGGGGAGAGCATGATTTGTGGAGCAGGTGGGTTCCTGGAATATCCTGTTGCCAGACGTTGTTCGAACTGGTAGTGAAAAAGGATAAGGATATTGAAAAGATGAAAAAAGGAAGGAAGGAGGAAAACGAGATGAAGGAAAGAAAAAAGAAAGGAAAAATCCAGGTGAATTCAGGAGGAAAGGCAGTCATACGCAGGACCTTGGTAAGTTGAGTGGAACCACAGAAAGCTAGAGAGAAGGAACGAAGCAGAGGGGATTGCAGTTGGGGTAATGGAAATAGAAATAGTACTAATAGTAGTAATTGTTTATTAACTGAAAGGGTAAGGCGCCTGGTGGGGAAGTATATAATTGAATCGATTTAATGATGACGGCGACACCGGTAGAACGTTGGTGTTGAAGTAGCGGCTCCGGACTGTCACCACGTCGGCTGGTTTCCTGGAGCCCATTCCGCACCCCAGCTGGGTAAGCAAAAGCGTTAGGTTGCTGTGCAGTGGTGTAAACCCTTCCTGGAGATATCGACAGATGGAGCGACGGCTATCTCTGAAGGTAATCCAGCCCAGCAGACTCACACAAGAGGAGAAGACGCTTTTGGGCGCTCTTCTTCGGCAGAAATTCCTCTGAAGGCTGCGGCGGTGACTGCCATGATGAACATTCGATAAAGTCCCACTATTTGGATGACGTGGACTACCTACTATCTCGCAGGCCGTTATCAGGCCACCAGGTAAACTACTGTAACCAAGGGAGTGAATGCCTCGGTCCATTGCCCTGTCTCTGTACTGCTTTTGCTGCATCTCCAAGGCACTCCTAGTGACTGGCTCCTGGACCTTCTACAAGAAGCTCGCATCTTCCAAATGTGGTAGCGCGATAACGTCGGGAACCTCGAATTAGGGTGGTTAATAGGCCTTTTGAGGAGTCAGCAGAAGCTGCTGGATGACGACATCTAGATATCAACGGACTGTGCAACCATCAGAGGGTCCCCCGGACAATTCCCATTGGAGTCCACTTCGTTGACTGGCATCAGCCACAGGTGAAAAAGGTGCGTGCGCAGACAGGGTAGGAAGCTTTCGGTTA